CCAGATTTGGTACGCGGTACAATCCTCAATGGCTCTCTGCGCCCTTTTACAAATATGTCAATTTTTTGAGTGAATAGAAATTTATAATTGTAAAAAGAGATTACTGAAATAAATAACATCTTCAAAAATATGGATAACAAAACTTCCAGAATTACGAGAAAATCTGAAAGATAACTAACGGTAAATCGACAACTATTTTAAATATTTGATGCCATTACTGGAGACGTTTAATTGTTTGAAGAAAACTGGATGGAGCTCTGCTTTCTGCTTTTGTTTTTATACATTGAGAATAAATATTTTGAGTGTACACTAAGAAGTTTTTTTGTTTGTTTAATAATTAAACATTCAGAATGGGACACCAAATTGAAAGTTATAAATTATACCTCTGATATTGAGATATGAAGTAGAGTATTGCAGGGATAAGTTTCAAGATAAAACATTTTTTGATTTAGTTAAATTGAAGGAATACTTATATATATATATATACTGTAAAAAATCTGGCGTACAACGCATACTTTTAAAACAAAAATAAGATCGAAAATCACGCGTTCACGTTATACGCTGGGTATAAAAATGATAGCTTTAAAAATAAGAAAAGAGATTAACACATAAGAAAAAAGACTTTTATATGTATCGAAATATTGTTTTTATTTAAAAGAAACGCAACATACCTTATAAACTTAAGGAGTTGTATTTCTAGAAGTATACAATTTTTTCAAAAGCCTGGGATAATACCTCGAATAAATGATTTCAAAACATTATAGAACATTGCGCACGTATATTTCAGATTCCTTCGTAAAAGTGGGGGTGCGAGTTATACGGCGAATATACCTTAAAATTAAAAAAGACAGCTTGAAAGTATAGGTGCGCGTCATACGCCAGATATATATGTTTTATGATATATATATTTTTTATTTCCTACTCCATATAAAAATATGTTTAAAAGACACATAATATATGTACAATTTTAACTTTTTATTTATGCTGAAGGAAAAGCTATATTTTATTTTACTTATTTTTATATTAAATATCTTTAAACGATACATAATTAATAAATATATAATAGAACTCTTAATCTGTATTCTTAAACTCTACTCGCTATATTGGCGCTCAATATACTCGCTATATTGGCATATATTGGCGCAGGAATCGAATTGTTTCAAATGTATCTTATTTTGAGGCACCCTGAATCATACGGGTAGATTGATTTGGCACAAACTGCCAACCACTGTTTTATACAATAAAAAAAATTTAAAAAATTCTCAGTATTTTTACTAAAATTCAGAATTTTAACATAGTCTGGCCCCTTACTACTTTGATGAGCGTAATTTTCCATTACTTACTACCCATCCACTATTTCTATCTTATTTTTTAATTCCTACTATTAGTTCACTTTCTCCCTATATATACAAATTTATATACGAGAGTTGGGGCATAAGTCATATGGCAACTATTTTTTTTCTTATAGATGTGTGAACGGATCACAAACGTATACATGTCGTGTGGAAGTTCTGCAGGTATAGTGTGTATGCAGAACAACAGATGTCTCTGTGATAGCTGGTAGTAGCGCAGCGAGGGCTATGAAATCTGTCAGTTGGTGAGTGTCGTGCGAGATGGAAGAAACCCGTTTTGAGCAGCGCGCTTACTTCAAAATAGCCGTTCTCCGAGGAAGAAATGTGATGGAATGTTACAGTGAATTAGTCGAAGCCCTTGGGAATAATGCCCTACCATTCCATACCGTAGCATGGAGGGCAGGAAAGTTTCAACAAGGACGTGTGTTAAACAGTGATGAGCAACGTGGTGCGGCAAATGCTGACGCTGATGGTATTCAGCGTCTCCCACATCGTTGTGGTGACAGTAGCAGGGGACTACATTCAGGGTCCTTAGGCAAAGGTTTGTCATGTCAACTTTATGTGTACTGTGTTGTCATTCTTTTGCACAGTGAAGGCCATATTGCCCTGTATACTACCGTAACTAATTAGTGTGTTACGATATTTCAGTGCTATTTATTGTCCACACATGTAGTTAACACCTTGTCCTTTCGTCTGTATGTGTCCCATTTTCCAACCGGACTGGTATCTTCAAGAAAAAAAATAGTTGCGATGACTTTTGCCCTAACCCTCGTATATATATCTTGTGCAGATTTTCAGTCGTTAGTAAAATACTTTCTATTCATCCACTCAAATTCAAATACATTTTTTTTAAACTTGTAAAGGATGGCACTTTATGTTAATATAGTTTTTTCAAATAATTAATTCATTCATTAAATTAAAAGAATGAATAAATAGTAACAAACAAAATAATAGTCCAACACTATATATTTAAAGGAAAATCGTTCGCTGTGTCCCTGTAGCGCAATGAATAGCGCGTTGGACTTCTAATCCAAAGGTGGAGGGTTTGAATCCCTCCTAGAATGGCCTAGTTTCTGAGAATGTGATTTATTTTTTACTATACTATTTTATTAGATTAATACTATTTATTTACTATACTATTTTATTAGATTATTATACTATCTTATTAGATTATTATACTATTTTATTAATTAAATAAAATTAATGAATAAACAGTAACAATCAAACAAAAAATAGTCCAACATCCTATATACAAAGGAAAATGGAAAATGCACGGAAAATCTCTTTCTATTTTATCACTTAATATTGTGATTCTGTCACATGTATATACATATTTATATTAATTGTAACTATTTAATAAAAACTAACTAAAATAAAAATTTTCTTTGTTGACTTAACTAGGAATTGATTAGAATTTTTTTATATTACTTGTTATAGAGGAAGATCCGACTTTCCTGCCTGTTGTTTATATTTTGTTTCCATTCCAATAGATTCAACTTTTAAAAAAATGTACTTTTGTTTAAGGGTGGGGCTATATTACTACTTACATAATTAATAACTATATTGTTTAGCAATCAATATTATACTCCAAACTCATTTTTTAACTTTATTTTTATTCAGTATATTTTGTCGGGTATTATGGAATACTAGGTATTCCATAATACCCGACACGACATCTAAAAAAATAAACCTTTAAACTGAAGAACAAAACATTGTCGGCTAAAAATGTACACAGTTTTAGAAACTACAATTCTTTAAGTGTACATTATGCTTAACTTTATTGTTCAAGTCACATGTTTTCTAGTAAGTAAACATGTTTAAGAACTTGCCTGTAAAAGCTTTTGAAAATTGCAAAACTCACTTTGTTCTGTAGCGAGTCATGCGGCAACAACAAGGGGTCAACTCTCACTGCAATACATCATGAGAGTCTTTCTTATGCAGTTCAAAGTTTCTCCTCACATATTAGCAGCTACAAACAGAGCTAAAACACACACACCTTGGAAAATTCTATATTACCAGACTATTCCATAATACCCGGCTCTCATCTGCATTTATTTCGTTTACTCTTCAATAAGCTCTGTACCCCAGGTAAAAATAATATAATTCACAAAATACTAACACATTTTTTTCACTTTTGTGTCTTAAAATATTTTGTTTATTTATATATTTTTCGAAAAAAAAAAGCTTAGATTTCATTTTTTGCAACAAAATAAGATAAACTGGGCCTAAAAATATACGACTACCCTTAGCGTCAAAAAATGCTGATAAAGGAAAAAAAAACTAAACAATATGTATGTATATGTTTTGTCTCTGGCGACTGCAGTTGAGGTAAACAAGTCGGAATTGCGCCCATACGGCCATCGGAAAGAGAGAAAGGTTTTTAGTGAAAAGAGAGAGAGAAAATGGCAGCAGGGAGCGCAAGACGTCACATTAAGGAGCGGCAGGAAGTCACCGTGAAAACGTTTTACATCAATAACTGACGCGACCGTCAAAATGCGCTACTTACGAGATTTGAGAGAGTGAATTTCTCGAGAAAAACGTCTTAGGATGGATTTCTGAAAAAAAAAAGTAAGGAAAACTGTGAGAAAAATTGAAGAGGAAACAATAAAGAGAATAGGGTTTCTTTTTTTCTCCTAGAATATATAAATTTTGCGTTCGTATTATCTTACTTTTTTTGTTCTGTTTTATGTATAACTGAAAATAACTCCCCACCTCCTATAATTGCTTTTAATTCAATTAATTTTTTATAATAAGACTTTACAATAAATCGTCGTTTTGAAATTGACAGATAATGGGAATGACTTTTGACATGGCCTTTAAACCAACATTTCAAAATCAAGCGCTCGAAATCGATTTTTTTTTCATTTTATTGGGCCAACCGGAACCCAGATCGGGCACAATAGCACGATACACTCACTGAAATTCACCAATCGCTGATAGTGCGCAATTAACGAAGTATGCAAAACTCTCTTTGATTGAGAAATAACTTTTTTAAAATTAAGTAAATTGGCTGAGGTGCATTTATGTGCTAGTTTTGCGGAACTATTTCTGCTTATAGCATTTCTAATTTATTGAACTATTTAGGGCTATTTCATTTGCACTCGTATAATGTATTTAATTAGGAATTTAATAAAAAATCAAGACAATATAACTTTCATTGCAACATCATTTTATTCTACAAACTCTGACAATAAAGTTCGGTTAATGAAGTCAGAACGGCCGATCTGGCAACACCGGTGAAACAAAACGCTGCACATGTATAGTGGCAGGTGTTGACCGTCTGCCCTCACCGTTGTTCAGTTGAGACTCATTTTTGTTCTATGTAAGACTTATTTTATAAAGTGCTTGTTTAGTACTTTGGTTCTTAACTGTGTGAGAACAGGAAAATAAACGAACAAAAGATTAATTTTTTGTTTTAAGCTTGGTAAGACACCAAAAGAAACTTATGCGATACTGGTACATGCTTATGAAGATCAAGAACAGTCTATGAAGTGTGTGTACGAGTGGTCCACCCGTTTTCGAAAAGCAGGGAAAGTGTTTCTGATAACCCAGTAGTTGGCAACCTCTGTCACTTACAAAAATATTGAGAAAGTGAAGAAATTAATCCCTTAAGATCGTCAATTAACTGTGCGCATGATAGCTGATGAATTACAGATTAACCTTGGATCCGTGCGACAAATTGTTACCCAAAATTTAGGGATGAGAAATCGTGTTATCGATATTGACGATATTCCTACGAAACGTAACGATGCTTTTGAACTCCATCCCAAAAGAAGACTTCTTGCAAAGTTTTCAGGACATGTATAGCAGATCTCAGGGATGCACAGTTATGGGAGGTGATTATTTCGAAGGACAGTGAGGTAACTTTCGTTAATATTTCATCTACGTTAATGTTACACACCAATGTTACAGGATTTTTCATTGAACTTTTTTTATCAGAGGTTGTATTTAGAATATATAAGTAAACTTTTTAGTTTTTACTGAACTTATTTTAATATGTTTAATACAAGCAATGGAAAAACACACTTGGAGTTTTTTAAATTTAACTTTAATAAACAACAGAAATTGGGAATGTAAATCACATTTTACACTTATTATTTCTTATTACAAAGAATTTCGCTTTGTTTTCTCTTCAATAAGCGATTTAGCAACATCATTGGAATAAAGATCAACATCTTATATTTTTTAAATACAAAATACATTTCGGCACAGCAAGATATTCTAACAGTTTCTGAGTAATCCTAGATATTGAGTATTTTTCACTATTTTGATCTCTGAAAATGATTCTTCTGTCGCTCTTCAAAATTTGCCTCATTGGGATTAAGCCCATGATATTTAGCATTTTCTAAAATAAATTTGCTTCCTCAAAAAGTTTTAAAGACGCTGGGTTTTTTTTAAATAAAAAATAATACTTTAACTACAGGAAGTAAATACAGGAATATGGTAAATTTAAAATCAGAAAAATATTTCAAATAAGAAATAGATAGATAATAAATGGTATCCAAAAATTATGGCTACATTTTCAAAAATGAATTAAAAATAAACGAACAAAGATTTTTGCTTACGGTTTTTTTTATGCTCCATAAAGAAAAGATTGAAGTTTCTGTTCAATGAAATGAAAATTATAGATGGTACAACGTTAATGCTTTGCAGCATTTTCCTTTTAAAATGGCTTTACCGTAAGAACAAGCGCAAGTTGTTGCAGGATTTATCGGATTTAAATCTGCAACACATGTGCAGCGTAAATTTCGGACTACCTGTAAATGAGATCCACCTTCAAGTGGCATGAAATATTTATCATGACAGGAAGCATGTTGTCAGAAACAAAATTTGACAGCCGTAGCAGCAGCTGAGATTACGTTACTTCTATAGACTCGATGTGTTTACGCGTAACTAATGGTGCGCTTTTTCAAATCGAGCAATACAGCTTTGTAAAATAAGAATTTTCTCATGATACACAAAAAACCATAAATGAATACTTTTGTTTGTTTTTTTGCCATTAGAATTTGAAAGTGCAGCCATACTTTTCGGACAACTGCTTTATCCTTCTTCTGTTGAAACTCGTGAAAATCCAATTATTAGAGCACAAGCATTGTTAACCTATCCACACCCTAAACTTAATTATGCATACTCTTCGACAAAGTGGAAACTTCCCTTTTTTTTCTCTTTTTTTTAAGCCCCCGTAACACAACAATTTACAATCTTACACTCACGTAAACAACACATTTAGCTTCTACGCGCATCTAGACTGGGTCAGAGGGGGTTAACTGTCACCGTCCGTTCCCCGTCCGGATTGATTGCTTATGCAATCCCCTTCCTCCCATCGAATCCACTGGTGCATCTGCTTCGTTGAACCAACTGACTTGGGGCTACTTCATTTCTTCCCGTTTGTGCGGGAGCGTCGAGATATATCTATTATTTCTCATTCATGGTTTATCTTTCTCGCCCAATCTCCTGGGTAAAAGCGCCTGTAGCGCTGTCATCCGCGAATATCTTATTTTAGTACTTTGTTATTCTAATAAAATAATGTTAAATTAACTTAACTTTAAAATTATATTTTAAAATAATAAATAAATCGTAACTTCTGGAATTTACTTAAAAAATATATTTGTTAATCAAACAAAAGGAAAACTTTTTTTTCAAAAAATATACTTGAAATTAAATTTTTTTTTAAAAAAAATACTAAACATTTTTATAATTATTAAATAAAATATTTATTAGATTTCTATTTCCAAATATCTTTTGATTTATATATCAGTAAAATGCTATGAAATATTTTAAAGTACCTGATATACTGCCCCATTTCAACAACTAACTTGAATTTTCCACAAAATATAAAGAGCTGCGCAAACAGTATGGCAAATAATGTAGTCTTCCTTAGAAAGTTGTTCAATCTCTTTTTAGTGAAAACTTATTTCCCTCGCAGATCGAAAACTCTGTTTTAAGTGGGGAAATATTTATTTACTAAATAACTTCCTCTTTCTAACTTCTTCGTCGACAAAATTGATTTACTTTTCCATGTGAAAATTCTCTTCAAATATTAAATTCTTTATTTTTTTTAAAA